TTTATTATATACGAAGAAGAAATTACATGTGGGTCGATTATTTTTTTTTTTTTTTTTTTTTTTTTTTTTTTTTTTTTTTTTTAATTCAGTTTCACCTCCTTTTAAATCGATAGAAAAACGTTTGGTTTCTATTTGAGAATTTACACCGGGGGAATCCCTATATGCAATCGTATTGCCGGATTACCGCCGTGGGATCTGGAGGCGAAGGTGCTCGCGCGCGTGCACAGCATGCGCGCGGAGGCACGTCGCCGGGGCGAAACTCCGCTGCCGCGCCAGATAAGTGCGTGGCGGGATGAGCTCCGGCGCGATCTCATGGCGGAATGGCAGCAACGACTGTCGCAACCGAGGGCTGGGCTCGCTGCCATCGCAGCGGTAAGTCCCCTCTTTGAGGAGTGGCTTGAGAGACGCTACGGCGTCCTCACCTACCGCCTGACGCAGGTCCTCACCGGACATGGAAGTTTCGGGAGGTACCTGTGTCTGATGGGGCGGGAGGAAACGCCCGGGTGTCATCACTGCGAGGACCGCCCTGAGGACACGGTGGAACACACGGTGGGAGAATGCCCTTCGTGGGCTGAGCACCGCCGTGTCCTCAGGGAAGTGATCGGCGATGGCGACCTCTCGCGTCCGGGCCTAGTGCAGGCCATGATGCGGAGCGAGGGGGATTGGGATGCCGTCTCCTCCTTTTGCGAAGCAGTCATGCTAGCTAAGGAGGAGGCGGGACGCGTGAGGCAGCGAAGCGCTGCCTCCTCGCAACCCAGCCATCGCGAAGGACACACCGGGCGTCGGGGATCGCGGGACGATCTCCGGCCACCGTAAGCGCGGGCCTGCGGACGGCGAGCATGGGTGGCTCCCCGTCCGACCAGAAACAGACCCGAGCGTACGGCGCGTCGCGTTCCGCGCGCGCCTCAAAGAGCCATCAGACCACCACAGATGGAGCCCAATAGGGCCGATGCCGATTCGGAGTCGCGGAGAACCTAACGGGTAACCGGGGCTCCGGCTCGACGTGCAGGAGAAGGAACGGGGTGGTTTTTAGTCAGTAAGAGTCTGACACTCCCT